ATTATAATTTTAAAAAGTCACATACATAGAAAATGGTTATATTTTCTCCCAGCAAAATTGCTGTTGGTTATAAGAGAAAATTAGTGCTATTGGTGATCGGTGATGTTCTGTGAACAGGATTTGTTCCAGGTGATAATACTACAGAGGTGTTGGCTCCTGAGCTGTTTTAGAATGACTGATAGAAGCAGAGGTCCTCTGACAAACTTGGATGATTTTTTTCTCCCCCAGACTTACACCAGGCTTTTCAAGACCAGCATTCCTGGGTTTTCACAGGGAATGATACTCAGCCTCTGGTGATCAGAGCCAAGAGGTTTCATGCCACTAGGTGAGGGTGACATTCACTTTACTACCCTAAGCAACTCTCTGAGCTGTGACCCCTGGATTCCCAGGCAGGGATGAGACTAGAGAGAAGGGAGGAACCAACAACAACTACCGGGCCTTGGAGTGGGCCACAAATTCTCACAAACATTATTACAGTTGGGAACCCCCACAACAGCTCTGTGTTTTGTGTATGATTGTAACTAATAGGCAGAGGGGTATAGTTATTAGCATGATTCACTTTGCAAAGGGGATAATGAAGTTCAAAGAGAGAGGATGTGTGTGTGTATGTGAGAGAGAGAGAGGGAGAGAGAGAACAATCAAAACATGGGAAGTCGTAGAAAAATTCCGTCTGATTTTAATGAAATATGCTTCTCTCATCAAAATATTTTGACAGCGTGGGGAACGAGATACGTGCTCATTAAAGCTTAATGACTGTCGCTCCCTGCCTTTTTCCATATGAGGATCACACACTCTGACTCACGCAGGGTGGGTGCTGGGAATAGTTAATTGGGAGCATGATTTACCCCAGTCCCAATCTGTATCACCACAGGGGTGAATGCAGACTGGGTTGATTAGGATGCATGGGCATGCCTCCACTGGTCTAACTGCTCTGGCGGACAATGACTTGGATTCAGGCAGGTGGGCCCAATATTGTTCCAGCTTGGCCTAGTTTTACTCTCAAAAGGGAATTAGGTAAAAACAGCTGGAAACCAGCCACCAGGCAACTCCAGTTCCAAGGCTGAGCTGGGGACTCCCAGAAGAAGACAGTGCTTTGGTCAAAGGCTTTGAAGAGAAGGGGGAAAGAAAAGAGGCTCCAGCTGGTGGAAGGGCAGGGTTGACAGTTATGTTATTAAACATTCGTGCTCTGGAATCTTCAGTGAAGCCACTCTGTCTGCAGAGTCGATTATAAACCTCTCATCCAAAAATTTTAGGCTCACTTCAAAATGGCCCCCAGCTGCCTTTGTCCGGTTCTCATCACTTGTCCCTTGTCCCCAGCCTCCACCTCAGCCAAGGCAGGCTTCTCCCCACTTCCTACACCCCCCCCGCCCTTGCTAACATTTCCTCTACTATCTGGAATGTTCTCTCCATCCGTCTCAACTGGCTCAAATGCTATCCACTCACTGGGGATTACCTACCACTCTGCAGCCCTGATTCTTGATATCCCACTCCACTCAGGCTTGTGTGATCTCACCTCCCTTGAACACAAACCACTTTGTGAAAGCAATTAGCACCTTCTGCTTTCTGTGAAAGTTCCCATGTGAGAGTAACCTAGCCTGGCAGCTACCTGAACAGACTTCTGAGTCAGGAAGACCTGGGTGAGAAGCTTTGTGCGAGATCATAGGTAAGTTACTTCCGACCAGCAACAAGGGCAATAACAACAATAGCCAACATCTACCAGATGGCCACTGTGACCCAGGCACCAGGCATCCACTGACTCATTGAATTCAAGGACCTTAGGAGGTGTGTTGTCATTTCCTTTGTCTTGAAGACGAGAAAACAGAAGCCAAGGGAGGTTAAATGATTTGGAGGTGGGGGGGGTTACACAGTCATTATGTTGAGAAAATAGGCTTTGAACTTAGTTTGGTTCTAGAGCTTGCATTTTGACCACTATGCTACAAGGCACTGCCCTCTGGGTCTTTCACTTTTCTTATCTGCAAAATGGGGGTTGCAGTCATATCCTCCTCATAGGACAGCAATGAGCATTAAATAGGAAGGTACAAGAGAA